CATCATATCTTTACCTAGCTATACCAACAAAAATGTGTTTGTGCGTTTAATTTTCGGTTCCGTTCTCTTTTTTTTTTTTTTCGGTTCCATCTTCAAATGAAAAATAAGAAGAATTAAGCCAGATTGTTCAAGGCTTTAAACGTCTTTAAGACTTTTCCATTTAAAGGTTATCAGTAAATATCTTCAACTAACTTCGAACTAACCCATGACTTTTGGATTATTTCCGTTGGTATTAAAGATGTGGAATAAATAAGTGTACAAATAAATTTAAAACAATCAAATAAACAGGCCAAATTAGGATATAAATTATGATTTCTTACTTCTACTAAGAGTTGTTGTTTTTAATAGAATTTTTACGAAGAAAACACAACAGCAAATTCAATTTACAAAAATACCAATTACTTCCTTTCACATTCATTTTTTTCCATGGTTTATCTATCATTTACATAAACCGAACCTAACAAAATAAAAACATCCAAATTCCAACCCCATAGTTTTCAAATTGAAATGTTGAGATCAATCTTAGGTTTCTTCAAGGCAGGCAAAGGAACAAACGAATGACATCTCGGGCACTTCGGATTGTTCTTGATCACAAACACGTACGATAAGCATCCCGGACATCCAGCCGCAACCGGAAACGCAGCGGCCGCGTTTCGATCGCAAACGCCGTTTTCTGGTGATAGGCGTTTCTTGATCAACCCGGAGGAAGAATCTTTCAAAGCTCTCTCCAAAGCCGATTTCACCTTGTCGAGAGTGCAAACACTACTCTGGAAACTCGATGAAACAGAGAGAGACGAATTCGAAGAAGGGTTTAGCTTTAGTTCAAGGCTTGTGTCGTCGAAAAGGCTTAACAATGGTTTCTTCACCGGAGATTTAACGGAAATCGGCGGTAGATTTAAGTCGTCAAATCTTGGAACTGTTTGGTTTGATTGATGATGAGAATATGAAGAAGAGCTCGTGGAATTGCATTGTTGAAGATAAACTTTCCCTGACTGTTTTTTTTTCAAAAATTACATAGAAAAATCAGTTTTTTCTTTTTCTTCATGTCCGAAAACCTCTCTGTTTCGTTCGTTTCTTCGTTATGAAAATTTCTCAGGAAAATGAAATTTAAAGAATCAAAGGAGAGGAAATAGAAAGCGAACCTTTAGGTCTAGACGTTTTTCCCATCCGTTAGGGACTTGTAAGTCAAGGTCAAGCTCCTGCGACTGATCGCCTCCTCCTCCTCCAGAACCGCCGCTTCCGAGGAGATCGCGAGTCGTGGGCGTCACCGTCGGTCTAGGTCCGGTGGAATCGTTCATCGCCGTCCGATCGTCCTTGTGTCTACTTAGTATCCGTACGAGAGAGCTGACGCCAGCAGTCATACCCGTAAAAC